GGGCCCGGGCCTGGCCGGCCCGCGCCGCCGCCTCCCTGCTCGCGCGCGGACCCCTCCCCGGAGGCCACCCCCGGACCCCTGCCCGCGGACCGACAGACAAAGGCCTCCAGGCCGCCGGCTCCCCGGGCCCCTCGGGTCCACGCCGCTGCCCAAATTGCGCATCGGGAAGCGCCCGGCAGCCGGGCCCGCCTTAGAGGGTCACGACGTTAGGATCCCTGCTGATCCATCCCGCGCGCTTCTTTGTGCCCGACTCCGAGTTAAAATGTTTACATGGATCCGGCGATGCAATGATCTTAACAGCCCTTGGAGGAAGCGGACGCAGCATCCCCTGCTTGCGGGCGGAGAGCACAGATTTCGATGTGGGACCGCGGATAAATCTGGCCCTGGCACACTCGCCGTGTGACCTTGCGGGGTAGCGACTTCCCTTCCTTTCGAGCCTCATGCATCGACTTTAGGCGGTGATAATTAGACCTACCTTTTGCTGTTAGTTATTAAATGAGATGATGTGTAAGGAGCATTTACGCGGGGCCCGGCTCTCGGGAGGCGCGCAGGAAATGTTAGCAGCCCTTGTCGTCACTGTTATTGTTGCTGCAACTGGCCCCATTTTATAGATGGGGAGCGGAGACACAGCATTCCTACTGCTACGCCAAGGTCACGCCGCGAGCGAGTGCGTGCGTGCCGGGTGGAGATTTGAACGGGGTCCATCGCCAGGGCCCCTAGTGCCGCTAACTCCCTGTGTCTCAAGGCTGCCTTTGATTTCGCGTGTCTGCCTTTGAGTCTCTGTGAAGCTGAGGGGCTGTTTCTCTCCTTGTAGGTGGCCTTCCCTTATGAAACACTACAGCCCCACCGACTACGTCAATTGGTTGGAGGAGTATAAAGTTCGGCAGAAAGCTGGGTTAGAAGCCCGGAAGATTGTAGCCTCCTTCTCAAAGAGGTTCTTTTCAGAGCACGTAAGGATCTGTTGATGTAGCTCCCGGCTTTTGCCTACTGTGGTGCATGTGTCTGGGTCTGGAGGCTTCGGCTCATCCAGCTCTTTTCCGTATCCGGTTTTCAGTCCTCACAATCCCGTACTCGCTTAGATGGCCGCAAGAGTCATTGTGTCCTTTTCCTCCTATCCAACAACACGAAGCCATTTGTCCCTGCCAGCTTCACTTTTCTAAAGCCAGCGAGAGAATGGGGCTGGAGGGGGAGGGACAGAACTGCAGCACAATGTAGAGGGAATCCAGATCAGCATTCTTTCCCTGCAAGGGGGTTAAACCTATTTTTCGGAGCCTCCCCTTGAGTTGGGGAATCATCAGTGATTGAACGCTGTACAGATTTCACCCAGTAGTTTTCCCGAAAGGGTTGACGAAATTAATACAGTTTTTCTTCTCTGTGGCTTTGAAGATTCTAACCCGTGGTGAATAGCACTATTCGTTAAGGTAGCAGAGGATTAGAAGCGATCTGTAAATCAGAATTATTATTCCCTCAGCTAAATTATCTTACATTACATATCATTATCCCCGAAAAGTTTTTGTGTCTTTGTTGTTTTTCTTAGTATTGCTGAAATGCATGGGGTTTTGTTGTTTGTGTTTTCCCACAAAGTGTCTCAGAGTTTCTGTATCAGGTCCTGGTTCTTTTTGTAACTCTGGGAAGTAGTTCACACTAATCTTTTAAATTTATTTCTTAGTACAGGGGTTGGGGGGAGGTCTGGAAATAGAGCCAGTCTGATTTATTTATTTTTTTGTTTTTTTTTGTTTTTTTTTTTTTTAAGTAAACTGTACGCCCAATGGGGGGCTTGAACTCATGACCCCTGAGATCAAGAGTCACATGCTCTACCAAATGAGCCAGCCAGGCACCCCTGATTTATTTTACTATCATGGTTTACCGAAGATTAATTCCTCTTTTCTTCTTTCTTTCTTTCTTTCAAGATTTTATTTTTAAGTAATCTCTACACTCTATATGGGGCTTGAATTTACAACCCCAGGATCAAGAGTTGCATGCTCTACCGACTGAGCCAGCAAAGCACCCCGATCAATTCCTGTTTTCTAATGTTAATTAATATTACTTCATAGGGTTCATACATGCAGAGTGTTTAAAAGGCTTTTCAAGTTTTGAAGGGGAAAATTGGAACTTTGGACAAATTTGAACTTATTCTTCTGTGGAGAATAAAACTAGATACTCCCCAGTATAATTCATTTCTATAAATAAACGTTCGTTGATATTAGGATGGGTAGTTTATGTTCTGGATGAGCCATATCCTGGCTGAAAGCATTCATACCATATTTTAAAAACTGGTACAAATTGTTTATGGGTGCTAGATACATTTGATGCACTTTGTCATGGGCCGCTGGTTTACAACTCCTACTTCTAGTCCAACTGGTTTTGTGTGCATTTTTAACAGCCTGTGTGTTTGTCCAATAATGATGAATTGTTATGTTTTTTCCTTAGCTCCCTCTTTCCCTGTACCACTGCCTAATTAGAAGTATGTCAAAGACTTTGAACATAGTAGGAATATACTTAAGATTGATCAGTGGGCGAATGATTACTTTGGCTCAGGACCTTTCTATTCCTGTGTTCTCTGCATGCACACAGGTTGACATGAAATTTCCTGGCTACGTTTAAAACCAAGTGGGGGGCGCCTGGGTGGCTCAGTCAGTTAAGCGTCCGACTTCAGCCCAGGTCATGATCTCACAGCTCGGCTCGTGAGTCGGAGCTCCGCATCGGGCTCTGTGCTGACAGCTCAGAGCCTGGAGCCTGCTTCAGGTTCTGTGTCTTCCGCCTTTTCTCTGCCCCTCCCCTTCTCATGCTCTGTCTCTCAAAAAATAAAAAAAATGTTAAAAAAAAAAAAAAGTGTTAAAAAAAAAAAGTGGAAGAATTAATAGAATTTTAAAGCTCATTGGTACCATCACCTAAATTTACAAAGGAGAAAATAGGCCCAGTGAGTTGAGCTACTTGCCCAAAGTACTAGACTTCTCTCTCTGGGTCTCTGCTCCTACTTGACTGCCTCATAAATTGCATGAAATCATTGTGAATTATGATACTGAAGCTACAGACTATGAAAATATAATTAATGTACAATTGACAATAAAATCTGAACAAATTCTTGATACTGGACATTACTTTCCAGCCATGGTGAGTGGTACAAGATAGCGTAGGATAGCAGTTACCACTGCCACGAACATGAGCATCTTTGTATCTCAGATTTGTGTATGAGAGTGACAGCACTGTTGCCTGTGACTGAGGCCTGTTTGTATATGTCTTCTTCATAGGTCCCTTGTAATGGTTTTAGTGACATAGAGAATCTTGAGGGACCAGAGATATTTTTTGAGGATGAACTGGTGTGTATCCTAAATATGGAAGGAAGGTAAGTCATAGTTTTAGCAGGGATTGTTTTTTGTTTGTTTGTTCTAATAATAATGCCCAGAATTAACTGCTGTAATTTGTATGTGGCCGAGCCCTGGGACATGGGTTTCCAAATCTTTCATGTCTTGCTGTAATGATATTTTTGAAAAATTCTGTGTAAATAATATAAATACACTGAGACAATTGATATTTAAATAAACCTTACAAAAATCTTTTTGGGAAGAAAAGAGAATGTGTATTTGTTCCCACTGTGGGTCACATACTGGGCTCTGGGAACTTGTATCTGTTATGCCATTTAGTAATATAAACTACCCTTCCTTTGTTATGACCTCTCCATCCACCATCACTGAATTTGTCTGTTATGGGTTGATTTTTTTTTTTTTTTTTTTTTTTACTTTCTTAGGCATGTCTTAATGGATGATTTTTTTTTTTTTTTTTTTTTTTTAACAATTTCTGAATTTGGGTAAGAAGTCATCTTACTTTGGCTATGAACATTCTAGGTATCTGGTTGAGTCCTTCTTTTATGTCTCCTGAGCCAGAAGAATCCATCATCTCTTGGTTGTTGCTTAAAAATTTTTATGCCTTCTATTTTCTGCTGTGAAGGTTAATTTCCAGTTTACCTAAAAAGATGACTTGGCTTCCAGTGTAACATACCTGTGAAAAAGGTTTTCTGCTTTAGCAGTTTGGAAACTATTAGTGATGGAAGGTAGAAATGGAGCTTAGCATCTTCCTTAAGAGAGCTCACTGTGATATGTCTCACAAACAAGAAGTAAGGTATTCTTGTTGTTTTTAAAGGGATTTAGGAGAGAGAAATGTCTATCAGTGGAACAACTGTCGGGGAGAGGTAAGATGTGCCACTATTCTAGGCCTTGGATGAGTTCAGATGCAGAGGTCATTTTTCCGTTTCTATTTTGGTTTATCTATAAATGAATTAAAGTATGATCTAATAGTCAGCATTGTGCAGACTTAAAAATAAAGCTGGCCTGTCTTTTTTACATATATATGCATATACTTTAAAATACATAAATGTAACATATATACTAAGTTTATTAGTTATTTTAGTTTTTTTTAATTTTTTTTTAAACATTTATTTGTCCTTGAGAGACAGAGAGAGGCAGAGCATGAGCAGGGGACAGGGAGAGAGAGACACACACAGAATCCGAAGCAGGTTCCAGGCTCTGAGCTGTTTGTTAGCACAGAGCCCGACGCGGGGCTTGAACTTACGAACTGCGAGACCATGACCTGAGCCGAAGTTGGACGCTCAACCGACTGAGCCACCCAGGCGCCCCAAGTTATTTTAGTTTTGATTTGATGTTGAGTGCAGACTTTGTTTCTTTTTGCTTATGCTGTTTCTCCTTTCCTCCTTACTCCCTCCATTTGTGTTGGTTTCCCGGCCCCGCCCCTGTAATTAACTTAGGTTGCCAACTTAGGTTGTGTTCCTCATGCCAATATACATCGGGTAGGTGGGGATGGGAGCACATCGTTATTTCACAAAATTGTGATCATTAAATAGGTACTTTCCTGTATCTTTTTTTTCTCATTCAGCATTACCTTGTGGAAATCCAATCAACTGATTTGATTCATTTTATTAATGGCCGTTTACTGTTTTACAGTATGTAGCACAGTTTATTTAACTACCCTGCTATCGATGAGTAACCACTATCTTCTCCATCTTATGTTGCTGGGGAGGGTGATGTTTTTCGTGGTGTCATTTCTAAGTAATAGGCTCGTAGGAATGAGTGTCCGAGGTCAGGCTATAGAAGGTTATTAAAAAACATAAAAGATAGTGTGTCCTTGGGTGGGGAGACTTATCACAAAAATGTCAGTTCTTCTAAAATTAACACATAACCCTAGTGCCATTCCATTTCAGTTCCAAAAGGAGTTTGGGGAGAGGAGCGTTTTTTGTGTGTGTTTTAATTGGATAATGTTGGCATAAAATATATTGAGAACAATAAATTCACTAGAAAAGCCAGAAAAAAAATTTTTTAATAATCACGATGTAAGACTTGCATCACTAGATGATAAGGCATATGATAAAGCTAGCTGTAATCAAAACAATATAATGTTTAAATGAAAGTTGAGAGCGACATCAGTGATAATAATTCAGAAACAGGTCCCAGAATAGAAGATAATCTATTTAAAGTCAGAGGGGGAAAGATGGCATATTTAATAAATAGTATTGGAGGTAACTGAATATTCATCTGGAAGAAATTAGAACATCATGTAGCAAAATTAAGTTCCTCAAGATTAAATTACCTAAATTTAAAAGTTATCACAATGAAAATCCCTCAATTAAATAGACTTCGTGTCCAATCTAGGGAGACCTACTTAACCAAGACTGATAATACAAAAGCAGTACAAGAATATAGACAAAGGGTTTTTCAATAAGAAATAAACTTCCCTATGAGCAAAGAAACTGTAAAGAAAGCCGATAGAATTCTTAAAATTTCTAAGAGGAAATTGAAAAATGTACAAAGGAGGAAGACATTCAGAAAAGAGCAAATCCAAGTAGCTGAGAATCATGTAGATCTTTAAATCCACTCTTCACAGAAATGTTAAGTAGTAACAAAATATTGCTTTTTTCACCTCTCTCATTGGCAAAATGACTAAATAGGCACAGCCAATTAAAAAGTATACTGGTGGGGCACCTGGGTGGCTTAGTCAGTTAAGTGTCTGACCAGCTCAGGTCATGATCACAGCTCATGGGTTCGAGCCCCACATCAGGGTCTGTGCTGACAACTCAGAGCCTGAAGCCTGCTTTGAATTCTGTGTCTCCCACTGTCTTTGCCCATCCCCTGCTCACATGCTGTCTCTTTCTCCTTCAAAAATAAATATTTAAAAAGATTTTTTAAATTAAAAAAAAAAGTATAGTGTTATCGTCTTTTTAGAAGTAAATGTCATAGATATGTCACCCCTTGGCCTGACATAATTTGAGCCTAAAACAGGGTTATTTTTTTTCAACTTTTTTTTTTTTTTTTTTTTTTTTTTTTTTTTTGGAGACAGAGCATGAACGGGGGAGGGGCAGAGAGAGAGGGAGACACAGAATCGGAAACAGGCTCCAGGCTCCGAGCCGTCAGCCCAGAGCCTGACGTGGGGCTCGAACTCATGGACTGTGAGATCGTGACCTGGCTGAAGTCAGACGCTTAACCGACTGCGCCACCCAGGCGCCCCTAAAACAGGGTTATTTTTAAATGACAGGGAATATGCTCACATTTGTAAATATTTTGGGATACTTTACATTTGTAAATATTTTGGGTATTCTTGAAGGAGCCTGTTTGTTTTCATTCCCGGCAAATGCTTATTGTGCAGATACGGAAAGTATAAAAAGGAAGAAGGATAGTTTTCCAAAAATGCTAAAGCATTAATCTCTGGATATTTGAAAATATTTTGCTTTTATGGTGTTCTGTGTGGTCTTTAAAAAGAGTTCATCTTCAATAAAGATTTGAAACAACATATTAAAAATGGCATACACTATGCTTGAGAAAATGACCCAGAGTGACCATCACTGAAACATTTCAGTAAACCTACTGGATTTTAAAAGAAAAGTCCTTTGGGCATCCAAGCAAAAAAGATGAAGTCACTTACAAGGGAAAGAAAATCAGAATATCATCAGACTTTTCTTTTTTTTTTTTTTCAACGTTTATTTATTTTTGGGACAGAGAGAGACAGAGCATGAACGGGGGAGGGGCAGAGAGAGAGGGAGACACAGAATCGGAAACAGGCTCCAGGCTCTGAGCCATCAGCCCAGAGCCTGACGCGGGGCTCGAACTCACGGACCGCGAGATCGTGACCTGGCTGAAGTCGGACGCTTAACCGACTGCGCCACCCAGGCGCCCCTCATCAGACTTTTCAACAACTGCTGTGTGTCAGAGGAAAAAACAATAACGTATTTAAGATGCTCAAGGATAAAAAATGTCAGCCAAGGATTTTTATATCCAGCCAAACTGACTTCCAAGTATAAAGACCGCAGACCCAAACTTACCAACTTGCAAGGACTCAGGGACTTTTGAGCCCTTCATGAGAAATGTTCTAGAAAATAGGACAGTGTCAGACAACCAAAACAACCAGAGAGACACTGACACAAGGACTAATGGTGACCATCAAATCCGTATTTATTTGTAGGATTACATCCAAGTGACAGTTAATAGGGTAGAAGGTGTTGTATGTAATGGCCGTAAACCTTTTTAATATAGATGTAGTACAGCTGTTTAAAAAGCTGAGCAGAGAATAGGGCAGAATGTAAGCAAAATAAATTTAGCTCTTTTCAGTACTCATCAAGGTGATAAATATATTGGTCTCGTTATTCTGAGGCTTGGTATATGTATGTTTCTAAGAGAGATGTGGAATAAAGCAGACGAGTAACTAGGTAATATTCTAAGTCATCTCTGGTATCCTGGATAAGTAGAGTATTCCTGGAAGAAAGAAAGCTATAGATACAGAATAGGAAATGGTAAAAACTGTATAGTTCTGAATTTGACTTAGAAGTGTCAGTATGAATTCCTGATATATGTTTAAAAATAATGTAGGTGTATGTGTGTATATACACACATAGATACATGAGATTTATTATTTCTATCCATTGAAAAGGTTCAGAAACAACAACCAGCCTAGTAGAAATGATGATCCCTAGTAGTCAGACAGTGGTCTTAATATACCATTTCCCATCAAAAGAAGCCAGGGTTTTGGGGAAAGGGCTGATTCTAGGTCTTATACAGGAATTGTAAAAGATCAGGCTGGAGAATCTTGAAAGCCTGGAACCAGGTATCAGGAGAAGTACCAATATTTCATGTTGTAAGTGTTCAGGGACCAACGTGGAGAGGCTTCCATTGGCCAGAGATAGGATTTGAGCAGTAGCGTGGATAATAACTGGAATGGGTTGAAACACACCAACTGCGTTTAGCTCCGCTAGTTCCTAATAATACTTAGCAACAACTAATTGTTCGCCTCTGGAGGGTAATAGAAATCCAAATTATTATTATTTTGAAAAACAGTAAAAGGAAAGACATGAGCATTTATCCCGCCTTTCCTATATATTGTGCCGTTGGGGGAGCCAGATAGTAGATGAGAGGAAATTATTCCTTGTAGAAATACTCTGGCTAATAAATGAAGAAGGGATGGTGGAATTAGAATATCAGCACTTTGCGACCTCTAACGAATTAACAGACCTGGGCACTGAGGAGCGGTGGCTGCTAACATCACCAGAGAGACAGCCAAGGCGTGATTGCCTCCTGATGGAAGGACTTCCTTGCCAAATAAACAGAATCTGAATCTGATCAAGCCTCTACATCCAATTTGCAGGGAATTCAGAAGACAGAAGAGCATGTGAAACTATACCTTGTGGATGCAATCAGCAGATTCCAGACTGGGAAATTCAGGTCACACAACCAGGTTTCTTCAGCAAATAAAGTGCAAGGGACAGAAAAGATGGAGGGGATCCTGTGGATTAAGAGACTTGGAAGACCTCAAAACTGGCTAGAGAGTTTAGGGCTGTACGTTTGGTGAGGCAGTGATGAGCATGGAGGTGTGGGTTGTGATTGCTGTGGGTGGGAGGAGCAGGTCTTGGAGTACTTCTGGGGTGTCTGCAAAGTTTCTCCGCCTGAGTGGTGGATACAGGGTTGTTTGCCTTATACTAATGCATTAAGCTGCTTACTTGTTTCGTGCACTTTTCTAGATTGACACACTTTACAACTCAAAGGTTAAAAGGCTGGTGGAACCTAGCTCTGCTGACGGTCATTTACTAACTGAAGAGTGAGAGGCCTTTCTTTCTGAAGTCACGCAGATAAAGTAATCACTGTCACCCTGTTTCCCATGATCCCCATGTACGTTTGGTATGTCTGGTGAAGTATCTCATCCACTAGCAAGTATTTATTGAGCTTCTGCTGTGTGCCAGACCTATCCCAGGCACTGAGGATACAGCGGTGAACAACGCAGAAAGCACTGCGTCTGTGGGGCTTACCTTCCAGTGGGGGAGAGAGTCACTAACCTAGTAAGATGATTTAGTACATTAGAAGAGCAGAAGGGGCTCTAGACAGATACTAACCAGGCAAGAGGGTGAAGCGGGGAGAGGGGAGAAGGCCTTACTCAAAATGGCATTTGAATGAAAACCTGAAAGGAGGTGAGGGTGGAGGTTGCAAATCTCCAGGGAACGAACCTTCCAGTCAAGGACCTGAGAGTGCTGAGGCCCCAGGTGAGCACCACAGAGCACGATGGCACAGCAGGGAAGCCAGTGTGGCTGGAGGCCGGGCAGAGATGGGGAATAGCAGGAATTGAGGTTAGAGAGGTCGTGGGGCAAGAGTTTAAGGCACCGTCGTTAGGACTGGAGCTTTTACTTCGAGCGAGGTGGAAAACCCCTGGAGACTTGGGTACGGGACTTTTGTGCCGTGACTTAACATGTTAACTGAAGCGCTCTGGCTGCCGTGTGGAGGGGCAGGATTTGAAGCTGGAAGCTCAGTGAGGACGCAGATGAGCTAGTGAGAAGTGTTCACCTGTCCGATACACGCTGAAGATAGAACTGATAGCTCTGGTGGATGGCTGGAATGGTCTGCGAGAGCAGGCCAGCAAGGAGGGGCAGGATGGCCCCAAGGTTTGCGGCCTGGCTGCAGCAGCAGAGTCGCGTTCACCCGAGACATTTCAGGAGCTCACCGGCTATCCGAGCGGGGATGTGGAGTAGCAGTTGCACGTAAGGAGAAGTGTGTTCTGGGAAATAAGTTGAAGGCTGCCAGAAACAATATTTGAAACCATGAGACTGGACGAGATCACCATGGCAGTGATCGTAGACAAAGTCGGCCGCCCAGGGCCTGAGTTCCCTGAGGCAGGTGCCCAGCGGCCAGCAAAGGATTCCAGACGCCTCACCCCTAGCTCCTGAGCCTCGACCAACTCTTCAGCCCCAGCTGAAAAGCCCCAGCTTTTCAGGTTTCTCTTGGATTTCCTTTTAGTCAATCTGAAGCCACGCAGGTCAGTGTTTCTTGGATTTCAGCACTACTGATTCAGTGTTACATTACAGATGCAAAGTCCTAAATTGTGTTGTCTGCTTCTGTGATAACAAGTGCTGTGTGGTCATGAACCAATTATATTCTTGTTAAGTAGACTCTTTACATGCTGTAATTAGTGTGAAGGGAAGTAAAAAAAAAAAAAAAAAAGTAATCGGAGGTTTTTATAGTGTCTTGATTCTCATTGGCTTGTTTGTTTGTTTTCCAGAAAAGCTCTGACTTGGAAGTACTACGCTAAAAAAATTCTTTACTACCTACGCCAACAGAAAATTTTAAATAACCTAAAGGCATTTCTTCAGCAGCCTGATGACTATGAATCATACCTTGAAGGTGAGATCTCAGCAATGATCTTCCAATAGGCAGCTAAGTTGTCGCTCTCAGAAGTAGTGGATACCATCCCCAAGGGTGGAGCAGTGGAAACGGACCGGGCCAGGCCGCGTGGGCTTCTGGAGGTGGGATTGTGTGGTCTGATCACTTAGGTAGGCAGAACTGCTCACCCTAGAGCTCATTTTGCCAGAATATTTGGCCATCAGCTGAAGCAAGACCGCGCCTTCTGAAGATGCACCATCAGTTCAAAGCACGAGGCTGATATTTTAGCTAATGTTAAATTCCCTGTTTGTCTAAGCTTTCAAGCGTCATTTCCGAATCAGAAATAAATGTATCCAGTTTTGTCTCCATGGGACCTCATGCAGATCCCTTCACCTCCCTGGTTGGAGTTTAAGGAGGACGAAGTGCCCTCGCGCATCAGTGAGTCTGCTTGTCCATAATGAGAAGTGAGGAGGAACAAGTCGAGTGGATGGACGCGGTGAAGGGAATAACTTTGTTCCTGCTAAGTCGGGCAAGAACAAAATGTGACTTAATTTTTTCTTTTAACTAATTTAAATTCCTAGCGTATCACACAAACGCTCCCATAAGTCATGGTTATGGAGTACAGATACTCCTGTCCGTTCACTTTCATTCCCTGCTCCCCACAATTTACCCAGTTCGCCGGTTTTCTTCCTTGCCAGCATTTCCATGGTCATGTCCCCGCTCTGTTACTGTTGTCGTGCGGGCTGTCACCAGCTCTCCCAGCAGCAGCTTTCTGAGTAGCACTTGCTTCCCTGAGCCTCATGGCTTCTCACCCCCTGGTGCTAGTCCAGCCCGAAACCTGGCCTTTCCACCACTCCCGAGTGGCCACCTGATTTCCTTTGTTTGTTGTTGCTTTTTGGTGCCTTCCGTAATCCGGACCTCCCCTAGCCCCAGACTTTTCCCCATTACTCTCCAAAACACACCCTTTGCTCCAGCCAGTGTTGTCCTCCCTCCTGGCTTTGTATCTTCGCTAGTGGTATCCCCCTGTCAAATCCTGCTTGCCCGCAAGAGTTCCAGGTCCTGTGTAACTTCCGTTGAGTTTCTGCTGACTACTGCAACGCATGCAGATTTTACTTGCCTCGGGAGGGATGCAGGCAGTAGCATTGACTAGTAGACCATGGTTAATGTCTGTTTCAGGTGTGGGCATTTTTCTCCAACTGATCATTAACTTTCTTGTGTCCCTGGTCCTTTAACGTTATTATGATCCACTGCATACTCCATGGTGCCCAGTGTGGATTCTTACTGAGTGTGTAAAAGTCTCATATCCAGAAGGAAGTGAAAAATCTGTTTCAGTTGATTAAAATCAAACAGCCTTATCACCCTGGAATTTTCTATGTGTACTGGAGTTGAGAGTCCCCCACTCTTCTGTTCATTCCACAGTCAGGAACAGTTGAACAGGGTGTGTTTTCTGTAGCTTGTTTATAGAGACGATTGCTTCTTTTTCATCTTCCGAATACAAAGTAACATGGTTTTCCATAACTCATCCAATCAGTACTGTAGGCACTGGGTAGCCGTTGAAAGTTTTTTTTTTTTTTTTTTTTTTTTTTTATTTTTGGGACAGAGAGAGACAGAGCATGAACGGGGGAGGGGCAGAGAGAAAGGGAGACACAGAATCGGAAACAGGCTCCAGGCTCTGAGCCATCAGCCCAGAGCCCGACGCGGGGCTCGAACTCACGGACCGCGAGATCGTGACCTGGCTGAAGTCGGACGCTTAACCGACTGCGCCACCCAGGCGCCCCGCCATTGAAAGTTTTTAAGTGATTGAGCAGGAAGTTGGCTCCAAGGTTTTGATTCTTGGTGACTGACAAGAATAATCTGATAACTATTAACGAAGTCTAGGAATCATAGCATTAGGATGGAATGGACTTTGGAGAAGTCCTGCAGCCAACAGGTGAGGAAACTCCATCCCGAGGAAGCCCAGGAGCCAATCCCTGGCTAGTGGCAAAATTAGCACTGGGGTCCCATCTCCTGTTCACTGCCTTCAGCTCCTTTGGGATGTTGAGTAGGGGGTCAAGATCCTAAATTGAATTTAAATGACTTGAATTTAAAATGACTTAAAAAAAAAAAAGCAATAACTGCAGCTTCCCAAGTGAAATTGTCTCATAACCAAATGATCAAGTTAGCCCTTTGGCATCTGGTTAGAAAATGACCTAAGGTCGGGGCGCCTGGGTGGCTCAGTCATGTAGGCGTCTGACTCTTGACTTCAGCTGGGGTCGTGATCTCACAACTTGTGGGTTCGAGCCCTGTGTGGAGCCCTTCATTGGGCTCCACGCTGCCGGGGCAGAGCCTGCCTAGTATTCTAAGTACATACATACGTACGTGATTCTAAACAAATACATACATACATACAAAACAAAAGAAAACGACCCAAGGTAATAAAGAGCAGAGAGGTGATTTTCAAGACACCGTGTCTCCAGTGTACTTTGTACAAGTCTTTGGCTACAGGTCCCCTGAGCGCCACTATTTCTGTAATTCAGAAGTATAGTTCTCTCCAGAGTTCATTTACTATTTCACCTTTGAGGGGTACAGTTTGTGGAAATCTGTCATTGTGAGGGCTTTCAGCTTTTTAAATGTTCTTTTAAGTAAAGGAACTGGCTTATGCCATTAAGTGTTCAGAGTTCTTGGGAAGATCTCCTTTATAGCATTTATTCCTCTTTGTAATAGAGTATGGGAATATGCTGCATATCACATGGTTTCTTGAGTCCATGACCTTTGAGAGAGAGTTTGGTTTATTTTTATTTAAAAAAAAATATTTTTTTAATGTTTATTACTTATTTTTGAGAGAGGGAGAGACAGTGCAAGCTGGGGAGGAGCAGAGAGAGAGGGAGACACAGAACCCGAAGCAGGCTCCAGGCTCCGAGCTGTCAGCACGGAGCCTGAAGTGGGGCTGGAACCCACGAACTGTGAGATCGTGACCTGAGCCGAAGTCGGACGCTCAACTGACTGAGCCACCCACCCAGGCGCCCCTATTTTATTTTTTTAAAAAAGAGTGTGTAAACTCCTTTGCTGTGAGAAGGTTGCTCCTTTTCCATGTATCAGCAGCAGGGTCTGGCATCTACAGATGAAGCTTATCTGGCAGGTGGTGGAAAGAAGGATGGCCCCAAGTGTCTGTGCTGAGTGACCAACTAACAGGACGAGGGCAGAAGTAGGAATTTATTCAGTGATTCCTGTTTATTTTCAGGCGCTGTATATATTGACCAGTACTGCAACCCTCTCTCTGACATCAGCCTCAAAGATATCCAGGCCCAGATTGACAACATCGTAGAGCTGGTCTGCAAAACCCTCCGGGGCATGAACAGTCGCCACCCCAGCTTGGCCTTCAAGGCAGGTGTGGAATTGCTTTGGATCCAACTGTATTTGCAAAAGAAAACCTAGCAGAGCTATTGGTTAATGTGAGAAATTCTGGAGTATGTTTCCATTATGTCACCAAAGAAGCAGTTAATGATTACACAACCACATGTTCACTTGGAAATGTGAAAGACTTGAACTTCATATTCTTTCCTCCACCCTGGACTGGCAGCACCTACTGAGTATTGTTAGGACATTGCCAGTGTCTGCGTGTGACAGGTCGTTTGGGATGCTGGTCACAGCCTTGCCAGTGCTTCTGTCCTCAGAGTAGATCTCTGTGTTTCAGGTGAATCCTCCATGATAATGGAGATAGAACTCCAGAGCCAGGTGCTGGACGCCATGAACTACGTCCTTTATGACCAGCTGAAGTTTAAGGGGAACCGAATGGATTACTATAATGCCCTAAACTTATACATGCACCAGGTAAATGTGGGTGTATTAAAACATAATCATATGTCTTTTTGAAAGCTCATTTTTGATAAATTGTATAGTTTGGGGCACAGATACATGGTCTTTTCATCTCTCAATGCCCAGTGAAACTCACTTTTGCCTCCACTGTAAGGGTATTGCTATGGATTTTTATTTCTTTATAGTGTCCTCTGTGTGAAAACCCTTGATCATTTCCTGTCTAGAAATACACATTTCTCTGACTTTGTTTGGTTAATTTGTGTCTTATGAACACTAAACTGTGAAACTAATCGGATCTTTTTCCTACACTGGCTTCTAGAAGCCTTGGAAGAGATCTGGCCAGCCATTTTGGCCAAATTGATACTTCGTTTTTATGTGCTTCCTTCTTGACACTGTTTTCAGATTCTGTTGCTCTGTATGCTAATCTTTGTCTGTCGTGTTTCATACACTTTCCTTGAAATGACCTTAAATTCTTTTGGAAGAACAGCCTATCTGCGCTGACAGAGCGGAGCCTGCTTGGCATTGTCTGTCTTTCCCTTTCCCCCTGCCCCTCCCCTGCTCATTCTCTCTCTTTTTGTCTCAAAATAAATAAATGAAACTTAAAACAAAAAATGGAAGAACAGCCTAGATCACAGGTCTGTAGACTTTTTCTGTAAAGGGCCTTCTAAAAAGGCCTTTTGGTTTGGCAAGCCAGATGCTCTGTGCCAACTGCTTAGTTCTGCCATTGTAGTTGGAAGGGGGCACAGATGTTACCAAAACAAACGGGTGCGGCTGTGTTCCAATGAAACTGTATACACGGACATAGAAATTTGAGTTTCATGTAATTTTTAATGTGTCACAAAACGGTACTCTTTTGACTTTCTTTAAACACTAAAAAATGTGAAAGCTCTTCTCATGCAGGCCGTACAGAAACAAGCGGTGGACTTGGCCCGCGGACTGCAGTTTGCAGACCCTTGATCTAAAAAAAAGCAAATGTTCATCCGCTTAAACCACAAAACCTAGTGTCGTTCCTGATGCACAGTGAGTGCCTAGTAAGGACTTGCTTTGAAGGAATGAGAAGGGAAGGTTCGTTTCTGTGAAGCTAAAGGATTTTTTTTCTCCTTCAGGTTTTGATTCGAAGAACAGGAATTCCGATCAGCATGTCTCTGCTCTACTTGACAATTGCCCGGCAGTTGGGGGTCCCACTGGAACCTGTCAACTTCCCCAGTCACTTCCTGTTAAGGTGGTGCCAAGGTGCAGAAGGGTGAGCCACCTATGCCATATGTTGTGATTGGTCCTCGGGATTCACTCCCACTGTGCTGAGAGGAAGTGTGGTAACGGAACAGAGGTCGACTAGGGCACGGGGGGTGGGGCAGCTGTCTTGTTCCTTGGCCATCAGTGACCGTATTCTGGTTCTGAGAGAAGGGCACTCTGGATCTTTCTGTATTACTTCTTAAAGCTGCATGTGAATTTACAGTCATCTAAAAGTAAGTATAAAGACTAGGACTAGGGGTGCCTGGGTGGCTCAGTCGATTAAGCGTCCGACTTCAGCTCAGGTCATGATCTCACATTCATGAGTTCGAGCCCTGAGTCGGGCTCTGTGCTGACAGCCTGGAGCCTGCTTCCTTTCTGTGTCTCCCTCTCTCTCTGCCTCTCCCTCATTCGCACTCTGTCTCTTTCTGTCTCTCAAAATTAAATAAACGTTAAAAAAAAACAAAAAGAGGAATAGAGGAGCACCTGTATGGCTCAGTTGGCTAAGGATCTGCCTCTTGATTTCCGCTCTCACAATTTCTGAGATCAAACACTGTCTGGCTCTGCACAGACCACGTGGAGTCTGCCTCCCTCGCTCTCTGCCCCACACCCGCATGCACATGCACACTCTTTCTCCAAAATGAATAAACATTAAAAAACATGTTTAAGTTTGTTTATTTTGGAGAAAGAGAGTGTGTGTGAGCGGGGAGGGGCAGAGAGTGAAGGAGACACAGAATCTGAAGCAGGTTCCAGGCCCCACGCTGTCAGCACAGAGCCCCACGTGGGGCTGGAACTCACGAACCGCAAGATCCCGAACCTGAGCCGAAGTCGGACACTTAACCAGCTGAGTCACCCAGGTGCCCCAAACTAAATAAACTTTAAAAAAAAAAAAAAAAGTAGGACTAGGAGTTCAGGATTTTAGGTGGATCTTAAAATCCTTTTGTTGCAAAGCAGATCAGATCAAAGAGTTCTTTTTGTTTACAAGGAATCTTGCTTTTTACTTTTTTTTTAAGTTTTTATTTAAATTCCAGTTAGTTGACCTATGGTGTAATGTTAGTTTCCAGCGTACAATTTAGTGATTCAGCACTTCTGTACAACACTTGGTGCCCATCACAACACGTGCACTCCTTAATCTCCATCACCTATTTCTCCCATCCCCCCGTGCACCCCCCCCCCCCCCCCCGTAACCATCAGTTTATTTTCTGTAGTTAAGAGTCTGTTTCTTGGTTTGCCTTTTTTTTTTCTTTTCCCTTTGTTTATTTGTTTTATTTCTTAAATTCCACATATGAGTGGAATCATATGGTATTTGTCTTTCTCTGATGTATTTTGCTTTGCATAATATCCTCAAGTTCCATCCACATCCTTACAGATGGTAAGATTTCATTCTTTTTTATGGCTGAGTAATATTCCACTATGTATACACACATGGATATGTATCTATATGTATATGTGTATATGTATACACACACAAACACACACACCCCCCACACCTTTTTTATCCATTCACCAGTTGATGGACACTTGGGCTGCTTCCATAATTTGGCTATTGTAGATAATGCTGCTATAAACATAGGGGGCATATATCCCTTTGGATTAGTATTTTTGTATTCTTTGGATAAATACCTGGTAATGTGATTGCTGGATTAACCTTTTGAGGAACCTTCATACTGTTTTCCAGAATGGATGCACCAGTTTGCATTCCCACCAACAGTGTGCAAGGGTTCATTCCCCTTTCTCCACATCCTTATCCACACCTGGTGTTTCTTGTATTGTTGATATTCACCATTCTGACAGTGTCAGGTGATATGTTATTGTCGTTTTGATTTGTGTTTCCCTGATGGCAAGTGATGACGAGCATCTTTTCATGTGTCTGTTGGCTATTTTTATGTCTTCTTTGAAAAAATGTCTATTTGTGTCTCCTGCCCATTTTTAATTGGATTATTTGCTTTTGTAGTGTTGAGTTTTAATGAGTTTTTTAAATATATTTTGGGGGCGCCTGGGTGGCGCAGTCGGTTAAGCGTCCGACTTCAGCCAGGTCACGATCTCGCGGTCCATGAGTTCGAGCCCCGCGTCAGGCTCTGGGCTGATGGCTCAGAGCCTGGAGCCTGTTTCCAATTCTGTGTCTCCCTCTCTCTCTGCCCCTCCCCCGTTCATGCTCTGTCTCTCTCTGTCACAAAAATAAAATAAACGTTGAAAAAAAAAATTTAAAAAAAAAAAAAAAAATAAATAAATAAATAAATATATTTTGGATACTAACCCTTTATTGGATATGTCATTGGCAACTGTCTTTTCCCATTGTGTAGGTTGTCTTTTGGTTTTGTTGATTGTTTCCTTCGCTGTGCAGAAACTTTATTTATTTACTTTTTATTTTATTTATTTTTTTGTTTTTTATTTATTTTTGAGAGAGAGAGAGAGACAGAGCACTCGCAGGGGTGGGCAGAGAGAGAGGGGAGACACGGAAACCGAAGCAGGCTGCAGTCTCGGAGCTGTCAGCACAGAACCTGACCCGGGACTCGAACCCACAAACCCTGCGATCATGACCTGAGCCAAGGTCGGTCGCTTAACCGACTGAGCCACCCAAGCGCCTCAGAAACTTTTTATTTTGATGAAGTCCCATTTGTTTATTTTTGCTTTTGTTTCTCTTGCCTCTGGAGACCTATTTAGAAAGAAGATGCTACTTGTGCTCCCCTCTATGATTTTAATGGTTGCCTGTCTCGTGTTTAGGTCTTTCATCCATCTTGAATTTGTTTTTATGAATGATGTAAGAAAGTGGTCCAGTTTCATTCTTTTGCGTGTAGCTGTCCAGTTTTCCCAACACCATTTGTTGAAGAGACTGTCTTTTCTCCGTTGGATATTCTTTCCTGCTTTGTCAAAGATTAATTGATCATATAGTTGTGGGTTCATTTCTGGGTTTTCTGTTCTGTTCACTGATCTATATGTCTCTTTTTGTGTCAGTACCAGACTGTTTAGATGACTACAGCTTTGCAAGATAGCTTGAAGTCTGGAATTGTGATGCCTCCAGCTTCGCTTTTCTTTTTCAAGGTTGCTTCGGCTATTTGGGGTCTTTTGTGGTGCCATACAAATGTTAGGATTGTTTGTTATAACTCTCTGAAAAATGCTGTTGGTATTTTGAGAGGGATTGCATTAAATGTGTAAATCGCTTTGGGTAGTTTACACGTTTTAACAATATTTATTCTTATCCATGAGTATGGAGTGTTTTTCCATTTTTTTGTGTCTTCAGTTTCTTACATCAGTGTTTTATATTTTTCAGTGTACAAATCTTTGACCTCTTTGGTTAGGTTTATTCCTAGGTATCTTACAGTTTTTGGTGCAATTATAAATAGGATTGGTTCCTTAATTTCTTTTTGCTGCTTCATTATTGTATAGAAATGCCGCAGATTTCTATATGTGGATTTTGTAACTAGCGACTGACTTTACTGAATTCGTGTATCAGTTCTGGCAATTTTTTGGTGGAGTCTTTTAGGGTTTGTACATAGAGTATCATGTCTTCTGCAGATAGTGAAAGTTTGACTTCCTCATTACCGATTTGGGTCCTTTTCATTTCTTTCGGTTGTCTGATTGCTGAGGCTAGGACTTGCAGTACTGTGTTAAGTAGCAGTGGTGAAAGTAAACATCTGTCTTTTTCCTGACTGTAGAGGGAAAGCTGTCAGTTTTTCCCCATTGAGGAGGATGTTAGCTGTGTGTTTTTCATATATGGCCTTTATGTTGAGGTATTTTCCTCGAAACCTACTTTGTTGGAGGCTTTTATCATGAACGGGTGTTGTACTGTGTCAGAAACTTTTTCTGCATCCATTGAAATGTTTGTATGGTTCTTCTCCTTTCTTTTATTAATGTGGTTTATCACGTTGATTGATTTGTGAATGTTGAACCACCCTGGCACCCAGGAAGAAGTCCCACTTGATCGTGGTGAATAATTCTTCTAATGAACTGTTGGATTTAATTTGCTAGTATCTTGTTGAGGATTTTTGAATCCATGTTCATCAGGGATATTGGCCTGTAGTTTTGTTTTTGAGTGGTGTCTGTATCTGCTTTTGGTATCAGGGTAGTGCTGGCTTCATGGATTGAATTTGGGAGTTTTCCTTCTTTCTCTATTCTTTGGAATAGTTTGAGAAGAATAGGTATTAACTCTTCTTTAAATGTTTGGTAAAATTCCCCTGTGAAGCCATCTGGTCCTGGACTTCTGTTTGTTGGGAGATTTTTTACTACTGATCCAATGTCTTTGCTGGTCATGGGTCTGTTCAAGTTTTCTGTTTCTTCCTGTTTTAGTTGTGGCAGTATGCTTAGTTTTAGTAATACGCTTCTCGGAATGTATCCATCACTTCCAGGATGTCCAGTTTGTTGGCTTCTAGTTTTTCATAGTACTCTTTTAATTGTTTGTATTTCTGTTTCTCCTCTCTTACTTGTGATTTTATTTTTGTGGGTCCTTACTCTTTTTTGATACGTCTGACTAGAGGTTTATCAATTTTATTAATTTTTTTCAAAGAACTGGCTCCTGGTTTCCTGGATCTGTTCTGTGGTTGTAGTTTCTGTATTATTTATTTCTGCTCTAATCTTTATTATTTCCCTTCTTCTGCTGGCTTTAGTTTTATTTTTCTTTTTCTGGCTCCTTTAGGTACAAGTTTAGGTTGTTGATTTGAGATTTTTCTTACTTGATGTAGATGTGTATTGCTATATACTTCCCTCTTAGGACCACTTTTGCTGCATCCAGAGGTTTTAGACCATTGTGTTTTCATTTTCATTGGTTTCTGTGTATTTTTTTATTTCTTCTTTGATTTCCCGGTTGACCCATTCACGTTTGGTAGCATGTTGTTTAACCTCCTTGTATTTGTTTTATTTCTAAATTATTTCTTGTGGTCGACTTCAAGTTTCATGGCATTGTGGTCAGAAAAGATGCATGGTATGATCTCAGTCATTTTGTATTTGTTGAGGCTCGATTTGTGACCTAATATGTGATCTGTTCTGGAGAATGTCACATGTGCACTTGAAAAGAACGCGTATTCTGCCGTTTTAGGATGGAATGTTCTGAATATATCTGTTAAGTCCATCTAGATCAAAGAGTTCTTAAAGTCTTATTTTGCAGTCTTCCATAAAATCTCCCCTCCCTCCCTCCTCACCAGAGAGAGAGAGAGAGAGAGAGAGAGAGAGAGAGAGAGAGAGGGGGGGAGGATGGGGGAGGGGGAGACAGCAGGGTAGCTGAGTTCTTCACTCATGTGCACAGCAAATGCTCAGTTTCTTATCATCAGTGATGCCCCTTTTAGGTAAGGTTGGTGACTGATGTGCATTTTGTAGACCAGGTCAACAAGTTCTGTTTTGTTCTCCTTTAAGCTTGGTGTCCTATTGGACATAAAGCTTTTTTTCAGCCGTAGTCTAGCTTTTGTGAAAGAAATAGTTCATCACGTAGTCAGAACTATCTTCTCATTAAATGTGCCATTTAGAGGAAAAAGAAACAAAGTTATTTAATTATTTCCTGTGCTTTGAATGACCTTGTAATATCCTCTGGCGAGTGATGAGCAGTATAGTAGTACCTGAGCTTTAGTGTTGGGCTGGGTTCAGACCTCGGCTTCCTCTGAGCCTCGGTTCTTCCTCTGTGAAAATGGAGCACATGTTTTTCAAGCATTTGGAGGATTGAGATGGCCCAGTGCTTTATACACCTAGTAGAATTTGTGAATCATACCTGGAAGAAAGGCGTAACTCATCTCTGTATTTCTACCCCTTAGTTTAAAAAATAAAACATGAATAGTTGGAGCCTCCTGGGTATTCCTCATCCCCTCCTTCTTCCTCTCGTCTGCAGAGATAACCACCAGTTACCTGCAAGTTTCTGTTATTTCCATGCAAATTTTTATAGTTCATTACATATGTATATTTCCTTAAATGGTATGCAGGGGCGTCCTTTCTTTTCCAGATACCCTTTTCTACACGTATTGCGTGGCTTTGGGTAGCAGGTACCCACTTTCCTTGATTGTAAATGGGGAATATGCTCTCTCAGTCCATTCTCTCTGCCTAGGTAACCCAACCGATTTCCCCAAATATCTCAAAAATAATCTTAAATGCCCATGTAATAATCCACCAAGGATCTCTGCATGATAGAAAGCATTTAAAACTGCAGTTACCATATTATTTGCCACAGAAACGGATTGCTGGGCACAGTTGTGCATGGTAACAGTATCATTTTTTCTTCTCAGGCTACGGTGAATGTGCACTAACGGTGCAGATGAGCAATAAAATAATTTGTTCGTACGCCAGGCACCTGGCAGAAACAAACACCGAGCCCCTGGCTGCGTCCTCAGGGCAAAGGAGTCAGGAGGCCGGTGAGAATAGTGCGGGTGCACAGCCCATGAAGCAACAGCCGGGCTGCAAGCCCTCTCCTTACCTGGACCCACGTTCATGCCCTTGGTCTCTGATCCGTCCCTGCACCAAGACCCTGTTGTCTTACTTACTGTAACTTTATCGTTTACTAGTACCTGGTAGGTCAGACCCCTCCCCCCCCTCCATCGAGTTCTTCAGAATTTCTTTGGCTCTTCTTAGCCTTTTGCTCTTCTGTAGATTTAGAATCCATTTACCAGCCTCCTTCAGAAGTCCATAAGGATGTTAATCGGTACCAGAGTTTACTTTGGATTGGATTCATAGATTAATACGAGCAGTGTTTCAGTGTTTTGCTCCTGAGTCTGTCTGTGAACGGGATGCCTCCCTACACGTGTAAGTTGTCTTTAATATCCTTAAAAAGATTTTATTGTTTTCTTCATGAAGTTCTTTAACTCTTGCCAGACTTATTCGTTAAGTACCTTAAATATTTATTGCTAATGTAAATGGTAATTTTTAAAATTATGTTTTCTAAGTATTGATGATGTATAAGGGATATGACTGATATTTAGATATAAATCTGATAATTATCCCCTTTGCTGAATAAATTATTGGAGCTAATTGTCAACTCTTATGGGTTTCCAGTGTAGATGGTCATATTGCCTGTGAATCGTGACCGTTTTGGTTCTTTTCTTTCTAGCCTTTGTACATTTGTTTCTTATACTTATTCTGATGGCTGGGTGTTCTCACACAGAGTTGAGTAGAACCAGTGATAGTGGGTACCCTTGTCTTGGGTATGACTTCAGGTGGAATGCTTTCAGAATTTTCATCATCAGGCATGATGTTTGGAGTATTTCCTTTCATTGAGATTATCAAAGCTGCCTTCTAAATTCCTAGTTTGCTTAAGTTCTTTTTAATTATTATTATTATTATTCTTTTTTTAGAAAGAGGGTGAGAGTGAGCGACGGGCAGAAAGAGAGGGAGAGAGAATCCCACTCCGCTCCCCCACACTGTCCGTGCAGAGCCTGAAGTAGGCCTTGAGCTCACCCAATGCAGGGCTCAAACTCATGAACCAAGAGATAGAATCTGAGCCAAAGTTGGATTCTTAGCCAGCTGAGCCACCCAGCTGCCCCTGCTTAAGTTTTATTAAATAAGTAGGCATTCGATTTTTTTTTTTTCCAAAATCTCTTTTCTGTATCTACTGATAAAATCGTACATTTTTCTTCATACGTGCTGAAATAGGTTTTTTAACATTCAATTATCCTTTCATTCTTGGGGTACATCTGTCTTAATCATAGGATTTTTAAAAATACATTGCTGTATTTGATTTGCTCCTATTTTATTTAGGATTTTTGTCTGTAATCAATTTGTGTGTATATGTGTAGTTCTTCTAGACTCATAAAAAGAGTTGAAGAGCATCTCTTATTTTTGGAACACTGTGTCTGTCTTGCTACAGGAAGTATATTAATATGACTCTAGGAAGAAATCTGACTGGGCTTTTTAAAGCAGCCCAAGTGAGGGGAGCCTGGGTGGCTCAGTCAGTTGGGTGTCTGACTTCGGCTCAGGTCATGATCTCATGGTTCATGGGTTTGAGCCCCACATCGGGCTCTGTGCTGACAGCTCAGATTCCATCTCCGGCTTCGGATTCCATCTCCGGCTCTCTCTGCCCCTTCCCCACTTGTGCTCTGTCTCTAAAGTAAATAAAAACTTAAATAAATAAATAAATAAATAAATAAATAAATAAATAAAGCAGCCCAAGTGAAAATCTCCTGCGTGGTTTGCCGTGGGCATAAGATCAAAGTGGAACAGCTGCTCAAAAAAAAAAAACAAAACAAAAAAACGCAACTGTCCCTGAAACAAAGACCCTCAGGAGTCCTCAGAGAATGTTCTTGGTAATGGTGATGAGGACTTGCTTCATGTGACCTCCTCCCGCCGCTCAGCTCAGCTCAGGCCACCACCCTTTTTGAGAGCACGGTTCACGGGAGGGGTGGCAGGGTCAAGTGCGGGGGCTCAGCTCTCTGGTCTGGAGCCAGGTTCCCAGGCTGAGCCCTGAGTGCCCACCGGAGTGTGTCTGCAGGGTCGGGGGCAGGACTCTTGGCAGGGCTGGGTTCTGTAACTTTCCTCACAGCCCCAGGGGCCTAGGGCCCACAGATGTTAACTGTGCTAATCTGCCGAATCATAAAGTGCCTCGGGCCTTCCCACCCAACTTCTGATAGAGCGTTTTGTAGACTAAGGTCAATAAATTCTCTTCTGTTCTCTTTTAAACTTGGTTTGATCTGGCTTAATCTCCTCGCAAAACTGTATTTGATGGCATGCATCGGTGCCGTTTCCTAAACATCTGTGTCCTGAAGTCTCAACACAGCAGGGAATGTCTAAAGGGTCAGATTTTGAACTTTAGACAAGGCCTTACTATTTCAAGTGAAAATGCTGCTGTGTTAATAATATTCAGTCTCTAATTTGAGCTACTTGTGGGGAGGGGGGAGGGGATGTTAGACATTGCCTTGTTCAGCTCTGACTTGAGATTTGGCTAACTGCCTGTGCTGTCTGGATAGGGCAACCCTGGACATCTTTGACTACATCTACATAGACGCTTTTGGGAAAGGGAAGCAGCTGACAGTGAAAGAGTGTGAATATCTGATCGGCCAGCACGTGACGGCAGCACTGTACGGGGTGGTCAACGTGAAGAAGGTGTTACAGCGAATGGTGGGAAACCTTTTAAGCCTGGGAAAGCGGTAAGGTTTTCGTGGTTTTCCAGCACTTCTGCAGAGGCTCGGATTGCATTACAGAGGATTTTATTTGAGGGGCCTCCCGTCACGCGGCAAAGCTGTGGATGCCGGGAGGCACAGTTGGGCTGTCTGCGGCTGTCCACCCACCACAGAGAGAAACGCATCCTTGTGACATAATGCTGTCCCGGCTTAAGATGTACTGAGTGGCTTTGACACTTTTGCAATGGACTTGTGTGCAAGTTTTCTGTAATATTTTCAATATTTTCTTTAGTAACCAGAATATTTGAGACTGGTAAAGGTTACTTTTCAGGGCAGTATGTTCTTCGGTCCAAGTGCCTTGTCGTCGTCCTTTGGTTTATACGTTTCTATCACTTAGATAAGAAAGCAAACAAAAGTATGAAACCATTCTGCCTCTGAGTCCAAGGGAATATGTCTTACAGGGAAAATAGAAGATTGTATGTTGTAGTCGTAGTTCCCTGCCTAACGGTGGAATTCTTTGTTCTTTTAAAATAGGCTGTATTTTTTAGAGCAATTTTAGGTTCACAACAAAATGGAGTGGAAAGTACAGAGAGTTCTCCTAGTACCCCCTCCCCCACACCTCCCCAACATCCCCCATCAGAGTGGGACACTAGTTACAGCTGACGAACCCCCACAGACACGTCATCCTCAGACTCTACAGTTAACACCCGGCTTCCCTCTTGGTGGCGTACGTTCTGTGGGTTTGGATGAACACACCATGACGAACCAACCGTCGTGGTATTGTGCGTAACAGTTTTACTGCCCTAAAAGTCCTCTGTGCTCCACCTAGGCAGAAGTTATTTTTGATTATGTGCAGCGTTATTGAGGTGACTATACAGTGAAAGTGCTTACAGTTTTCATGCCCATCACCAAAGTGGGGTACAAAAGTTAACGTTTCTTCTGGGGCTTTTTTAATATTGTTACTAAGATCATTGTAACTATTTGCTGACCAGAGAGGAGGTATCGGAATCCGGAAAGGTGGGTGGCCTTTGTGTCCGTTACTCATAAAACCTGGGTCTTGAAAAAGAGGGTCTCAGCTGAGAAGCAAGCAGAAAGTGAGGCCGTGATTGATTTCCCCCACCAGGGAAGGCATCGACCAGTCTTACCAACTCCTGCGAGACTCCCTGGATCTGTACCTGGCGATGTACCCGGACCAGGTGCAGCTTCTCCTCCTGCAAGCCAGGCTCTATTTCCACCTGGGCATCTGGCCAGAGAAGGTAATTATTTTACTTTGATGCTTTGCACTTGCGTTAGAGAGGAACTCTAGCTTAAAAGGCGGCTCTTGGAAGTTTATCCTATCAGCCTGGAGGATAAACGTGAATTTATTCACTCTCCCCATCTCGGCCTGTCAATTAAATGTTTTTTGTCTCCTTTAAATCTAAAAAACTTGGCTACACTGCCAGGGGTTGCCTGTTCTCTTTGTGGTCCATGCCTTAAACACCTGGAAGCACAAGGCCTCAGCTCTGCAACCCACCTGTTGGTGCCCACACGTGTTCCCCCCGGGTCACCCTGACTCAGCAAGGGGAAGCAGAACTTTAAGTGTTCACCCTCCAGCAGTGCTGCTGGTGCTCACACTGACCGTGTGAGCACCCCTGTTTAACAAAGGAAAAGTAGATCTTGGCTGTGTTCTGGTCCAGCTGCTGGGTTTCACGGACTGGTTCCGTCTTTGAAAACTGTGGATTCTGATGCAGTCCCACTTGGGCTCCTCCTTTTTCTAATGTCCCCTGTGGCCATCAGCAAGCCCTTTCAGAGGACCGCGGCATCTGCGATCAGAAACGCTCCTCAGCAAGCTGTGGGTGCAGCCGGTGTCTGAGTGCGAGGGTGTGTTACAGCGTGGGAGCAGCTGCGCCTTTCCATCATGCGCTGGCTTTTCCAGGGGAATATGTTAATAATCCATTATGTCTGTTTAGAGCAGCCTGGCGAGAGAATTTTGTTCCGAGTGCTCACAGGGACATCAGCATAAAATCATCCGTTCGTGGGGCGCCTGGGTGGCGCAGTCGGTTAAGCGTCCGACTTCAACCAGGTCACGATCTCACGGTCCGTGAGTTCGAGCCCCACGTCGGGCTCTGGGCTGATGGCTCAGAGCCTGGAGCCTGTTTCCAATTCTGTGTCTCCCTCTCTCTCTGCCCCTCGCCCGTTCATGCTCTGTCTCTCTCTGTCCCAAAAATAAATAAACGTTGAAAAAAAAAAATTTTTTTATAAAAAAAAAAATCATCCGTTCGTGTTGTTAGAGAGGGGTAAATAGTATGACCCCACATTGCTTAGGTTTAAACTATCTCATTTATTCCCCACTTCAAAGATGTGGAACCATTCTGAGAAAGGACCCATCGGTAGGAACATCCCTGAGCTCCTGTCTTAAGAGGTCATCTGTAGTCCAAGTAGCAGATGTCCTCCTGGAACATCCTGTGGTCTGCCAGAACCAGACCCTCTACCGAAGTTACCACCTAGGTTTCCTGGGGGAAAGTGCAGGAGCTCTGGCGTCCTTCCCTTTCTTTGATGATGGACTCCGTTCAGTGCTCATGCTGTGCACTGGGGAAATACCTCAGTACCCTCCGTGGATGACCAAGAGTGCCATCCTGCCAAGCAGATGTCACTAGAACAAGATCCCGGTTGCTTATGTGCAGAACATTTTTCCTCATGACCACCATTCGTTTGCTTCTGGGGTTGAACACCTTAGACGGCCCCTCATGCGGGGATCAGGAATGCAAAGTCGCTCCCCTCCATGAGAGCGCACTTGAGCTAGGCGGGCGCCACCAGAGAGAGTGGGAACACGGGGGCTTCTGATGAGGAAATTTCCAGGGGACACTGAAGCCATGAGGAAAGGCTCCTCTCCAGAGAAGGTGTTTGAGGTGGACCTTGAAGGGTGGGAAACCATTCAGAGGGTAGAAAAGGCAGCCGTTCCCGTGGGCAGGGGCAGCCTGTGCCTGGCACGGAGGTGGACGGGCCCGGCACTGTGGGCCCACCCAACAAGGCTTTGTATGCCCGTACTCATATATGGGCATGGAAACGTGAGCAGCTGTGTGCATATTTGTCAGATCAGTTTCTGGAAGGCTTGGAATTAGTGTGGCCTTATTAGTTCCCAAACTGGGAAGACTGGAAAGTCAGCTTGTTTTCAGTTGAAGTAAATCAGAAAGAGCGAAGAAACACAAGCCCTCTGGGTCACTGTCGTCATAGTCCAGGGTCCTTGTGGCTGTGACGGGAAGAGACAGTGGAGGGTGGTCATGTTTTGAAAAGTCACTGGCACCAGACGCCTCCTTCCAACCCTGTGGGGTGGATGCCGGGTTTTTGTCATTCTGTAAATAGTGAAACTGAGGCAGCGGGAAGTCAGGTAACCCGCTAAGGCCACCCGCGCTGGCATCAATGGCGTTAGGAATTGCGCACAGACAGTTCGGTGCCCGAGCCCACCCGCACGCCTCACCCCTGTGGGCCAGCGGGCTACGGGGGGGGATGGTGAAGCCGGCACCCGGGCCCGTTTGGCTTCCTGCTGCCAGACCTCCCTCCTCAGTTTGACCCATGGCCCTCCCTCCCTTCCCTCACCCTCCTCTACATCTCACTGGAAAAGATACCCTTCTGGTTTTCCAAGGCAACTCTCTGTGCTCCAGATCCCACTCTGTTGTCCTTTATTTCCTATGTCTACAACTCCCTGTTTCTGCCGTTGGCGTTCTGCTGACTCGGATCGATCTTTCTCATCTTTGGGGAAAAAACAAAACGCACTCCCATGACATCCCTGCGGCCGCCTCCTTATCTCTCTCCTCCCCTGCGGGGCTCCAGCCCCAGCTGGCCGCATGCCTGGCCTCCCACCTGCGCCCCAGAACATGGGGATCATTTCCCCCCTCCACACACCGCTCTTGCCAAAGGAAGCCAATGACCCCTTTTGACAGAAACCGTTCTTTTTGTTGACGAATCCACAGATACTTGTCTTTCCTTATCTTTCTGGATCACTGAGGGCCATTCACTGCTCAAAACACTCTGTTCCTTTGAGTCTGGTCCATGGTTCTCAGCCTCTTGCTAGTTCCGTGTCCTAGGTTTCTTCCCCGCAGGGTAGTTTCTAGACTTCGGTGAACACCTTTCCCCGAGGTGAGGTCACCTGGCCTTGCTTCAGTTACCGTCCGCAGGCTGACCGCTCCCGACGGACGCTCTGCCTGGACCCCGGGCTCCAGACCCGCGTGCCCAGGTGTCTGCTGCACGTGTGCCCGCGGCCCCATCTCCTAGACCGCCGCCCAGGCCTCCTGCCTGCTCTCCCCCCTCCACTCTTACCCCTCGGAACCTGTTCCGTACACTGGGGCCGGAGCAATCTCTGAAGATGTCGGCCCTGCCCCTTCAGTGCTCAGAACCCTCCGAGTGGCTGCCTCGGTGTCGTGAAGATCAGGCTCATTCTCTTCGTCATGGCTTACTAGATTCTCGGCGGTCTGGCCCTGCCAGCCTCAGCTGCCTCGGTGCTCACGGTTGCCCCTTTTGGACGCTGTGCTGCCCGGCCGCGCCCTCCACTCGCCCGTGTTCTCTCGCCTCAGGGCTTGGTGCGCGCCCCGGCGCTGCCCCAAACGCCTTTCCTTAGGCCTCGGTCCCATTGGCTGCGCCTCCGAAACCCCTTCCCCAGCCCGTCCGCGGCAGTCCAGGTCCCCTGCTCTGCCGGCCGTGTGCTTGCGCTGCCGCAGAATGTCTTCTGAGGACACTGTGGCTGTGTGTGTACTGTGCCTTCGCCAGGGACCGGGCTCCCTGAGGGCGAGGACCGCATCTGTGTGGTTCTTCAGGGTAGCGGCCCCCCTGGCTCTCCGCCCAAGGCCCGAGACGCAGGAGGTGCTCAAAAAAATGGTTTGGACGAGTGATTAAGATCTTTGTTAGATAATGAGGGAGAGGATATCCAGATTTTCCAACAAGGGAGACTGTTTGGGCGCGTTAAAAGTGGGTATTTGGATGGGGCGCCTGGGTGGCTCAGTCGGTTAAACGTCCAACTCTTGATCTCTGCTCAGGTCTTGATCTCCGGGTCATGAGTTCGAGCCCCATGTTGGGCTTTGTACTGGGTGGGTATTGGGGCGCCTGGGTGGCTTATTTGGTTGGGCATCCAACTCTTGATTTCGGCTCAGGTCATGATCTCACAGTGGTTCGTGAGTTCGAGCCCTGCACCGAGCTCTGTGCTGATAGTGCTGAACCTGCCTGGGATTCTCTCTCTGCCCCTCGCCCCCTACCCCTCAAAAAAAACGGGTGTTTGGAGAACAGGCTTGTTTCAGGGGCAGGAGAAAGTGTTCAGTTTGGGGTTTGTTGGATTGGATACGAGCGGGGCCATTGAGTGCAGCTGTCTGAGGACATCTGGCAGGGGCTCCCCGTATCAGCGTCTGGTGGCTGAAGCCCCAAAAGCAGAAGAGCCCCCAGCCAAGTGGAGGTCTGCAGCATGGAGCCAGGCACTTCACAGAGAGCCACAGGGGAAACCTGTAGCCGGGACAGAACAGGGTCAGCACACTCTGCTGCCTGGATTTGTGGATATGTTTTATCAAAGGCACGTTTCGAAAGAGGCCCATCTGCTTGCTTTTTTATCGCTGGCTACTCTCCAGCCACAGGGGGCAGAGGAGAGTAGTTGGGTCCGACACCATGTGGGCCACAAGGCCGCAGTTACTCTCGGGCTCCTTATGCTAAAGGTTGCCAATCATGAGTGACAGACCCCTGTGTTCCAAGATCCCTACCCCCAAAATTGTGGGCTCTTGGGATTGTCAGCCTAGACATGTGTTTGGAGACATCATAACGCCCCCCACCCCCCACCCCTGCCGCTGTCATCAGTACTGTCCTTCAGGAGCACACCAGGCCCCTGTCATGGTATCTTTTCTGTTTCTACCCTCTCCCTTCACCCTGTCATCTGCACATCTGGGGACAGGGAGTGGTAATTACCCCTGAACCTTGTCTCTTCCTGATGCTACAAGGGAGTTTAAGCCTTCCCCTGTGCTTACAAGACTCCCAAGATAGGTCTGTTGCACTTATCTGCAGGGGAGGGGCTGCTAGTTAGGGAGGGAAGCTGTATGTGTAGAATGTAGCAGAAGTGTGGTCAGAAGTAACTATAATTGGGGCGCCTGGGTGGCTCAGTCGGTTAAGCGTCCAACTTCGGCTCAGGTCATGATCTCATGGTTCGTGGGTTTGAGCCCCGTGTCGGGCTCTGTGCTGACAGCTCAGAGCCTAGAGCCTGTTTCAGATTCCATGTCTCCCTCTCTCTTGTGACCCTCCCCTGTTCATGCTCTCTCTCTCTCTCTCTCTCTCAAAATAAGTAAACATTTTTAAAAAAGTAACTATAGTCAACCCTTGCACAGACGGAGCGGGGTTGGGGGGGGAAGGTGTAGGGGTGCTGACCCCTGACACAGTCAAAACTCCATGCATAGCTTTTGACTCAAAACTTAACTGATGGCCTGCTGTTGATTAGAAGCCTCTCGGATAACAACTAGCTAGTTAACATATTGTGCATGTTTTATGTGTAACATACTATATTCTCATAATAAAGTAAGCTAGAGGAAAGCAAATGTTACCAAGAAAATTACAAGAAAGAGGAAATACAATTACGGTCCCGTACTGGAAAAAATCCTCATATAGGTGGACCCATGCAGTTCAAACCCGTGTTGTTCAAGGGTCGGCTGTAGTTGGAGCTGCATATGGGAACAGGAGGAAAGCCACACGCAAGCGCCGGAAATAGAACTCACCGTTCAGATCCGATGCTTTTAGCTTCAGAGGATGAATATGATTAGTGTCCCCCAAAGTAAAGCACAGTACAAATTAAAGCAAAGGTGGGTGGTGGATGGAAATTGGCTCTCAGTTGATACTGGTTGAAGCTGAGTTTGAGGTGCTTAGGGTTATACCATTCTGTCCATTTGTGTGTGTGTGTGTGTGTGTGTGTGTGTGTGTGTGTGTGTGTGTGTGTGTGTTTTAAGCAACCTTACTGATTTTTTTTTTTTTTTTTAATTTACTTATTTTGAGAAGAAAGGGCACTCGCACAGGAGGGGCAGAGAGTGAGGGAGAGAGAGAATCGCAAGCAACACTCGGCACTCACTATCAGCCCAGAGCCTAGCATGGAGTTTGAGCTCGTGAACCGTGAGATCATGGCCTGAGCAGAAATCAAGAGTCAGATGCTTAACCGACTGAGCCATCCAGGCACCCCAGTTTTTATGGGTTTGAAAGTTTTCCTAACAATGAATTAAAATGCTCCTGCTCTTGCTCTGGTAAGAAGGTGGTTGCGACCTTAGGTTTGGAGTCAGCACCCCCCGGTCCACATTCTCCCTCCACACTTTCATACTCTGGGACCTCCAGCAAGTTCCTTAACTTGATGATGCCTGATTCCTCTTTGGAAATCAGCATTGACTATACTTCACATTGGGAGGATGAAATGAAATAAATGTGATGGGCTTGGCACGAATCAGTGATCAGTGGAGAAGAAGCATTCACAAAATACTGAGATCCTGCAAATACCAATCTGGAGGTTAGGAGTGGGTTTCATAATAACATCTTACACTGCAAAAAACTAGGTTTTGGTGTTTTCTTTATGTTTGTGTATTTGAGGGAGAGAGTGCACGTGTTTGCATGGGAGGAGCAGGGGAGTGGGGAGAGAGAATCCCAAGCAGTCTCCGCACTCAGCGCGGAGCCAGACTCAGGGCTCGATCTCATGAACTGTGAGATCCTGACCTGAGCCAAAGTCAAGAGTCGGGTGCTTAACCTCCTGAGCCACCCAGGTGCCCTGCAAAAAGCTAATTTTCACAGCACTTTTGGTGGGTCAAAATACATCAGGAAATAGGACAGTTACTAGTCATCATCTGATAACGTGAATAAACTAACTTAAAGGTAAAAACCATTTGCTGGATCTGGGACTAGAATATAGGTCACTCTGTCTGCTTACCTACTCTGTCTTAGGGCTCAGTAAATAGGAAAAGATCCTGTTTCCAAAAGAAGAACATGTCAGAGACCCTCTGCTAAATGGCATCATAGGTGCTAAGTGATTTTGTGTGTGTGCGCGCGCGTGTGTGTGTAAAACTTTATTTGAACTTGCAGGTTTCCTTAGCAGCACTGTGTACGGTAGGAGAACATAACCTTGGAGTCAGCTCTGCCGCGAGCAGCTTAGTCATTTAAATTGCACATAGATGTGGTTTCTCCTTGTCCACTTGAGTGCGTGCGGAATTGCACTGCGAGTTAAAATAGCTGAAAATGATCGGTACGTGTTCAGAACCTTGAGACCCACGGCTTCATCAGCTAAGCTCACGGGCATCACTCCGTGGCTTCTGTGTAGCCCCTTCCCCCTGGGTAGTCGAGGCAGCTCTGTCACACGTCCCCTTGATCTGGATTGAAGCAGCTGAGCAGTTACTTTTCTTCCCAGTTGGTCAGCGATGTATTAAAACCCTCTCCTTTCTGTGTATAAAGAATGGAATCCCCACACTGACCAGCAAGAGTGTTACCACCTTCTGTTGGAGTTCCCCTAATCCAGACATGTCCGTGGGTGGCAGGCTCTTGCCTCCTCACCCCTCGCTCGTTCTGGCCCACCGTGTTTCCAAATAATTCCCACGTTCCCGCTGGTTGAATCTGCTGTGGGACCAGTGCCCGGCGTTAGAGGGGAGACCACCAGCTCCCAGACGTGGGGGGCATCAGCACGGCCCCCAGCTTGCCGTCTTGTGCCAGGTTAGGTAGCTCTAAATCCTGTGCCGCAAAAAAGAAAAGGCCTAAATGAAAATATTATCTCCTAGTCTTTCTGTCTTGTCTTGAAGGTGCTTGACATCCTCCAGCACATTCAAACCCTAGACCCCGGGCAGCACGGGGCGGTGGGCTATCTGGTGCAGCACACGTTAGAGCACATCGAGCGCAAGAAGGAGGAGGTGGGTGTGGAGGTGAAGCTGCGCTCCCACGAGAAGCACAGAGACGTCTGCTACTCCATTGGGCTCATTATGAAGCATAAGAGGTGAGTGCCCGTGGCGGCCATCCCCACGCGGCTGCAGAGGACACGCGTGCCTGCCAGCACGCGTCTCGGGAGCCGCCGCGACGGACTGGCCACCGCGGGAGTCGCCCGAGGCCGAGCTGGTCTGAACCGCATCTACCCTTTTCGTTTTGTAAGAAGAGTCTCGCTGTCCTCGCTCAGGGTCTTCTAATGGGAGAGCTGTAAGCTGGGGGGGGGTTTCCGCTCATTTCCTCGTTGTCCTGACGCTTCGTTTATCTCCATCCCTGTGAATCGGAGTTGCAGGTAGGGCTTGCCCGTCTGTAGGGCAAGCTCATGGTCGATTGACTAGGCAAAACTCAACCGCGTCCACAGCGACAGTGCCGGTTACGATTTACGTGCCACCGGCAGGCTGGGAGCGGAGGGTCCTGTTCTCCCCTACGTGTTATTGCCAGACTTTTAAAAATGCACTTACAGAGTAAATGGCGACTGGTATTTCATTGTGGTTTTCGTTTGCATTTCCCCGGTTGCCTACGCGGATGGGCTCGTGAACCTGGAAAAGAAGCTCATTCAAGTTTCCTTTTATTAAGCGCATCTTCAAGTCTTCCTGTTTTTCATTTGAGTTATTCATCTTTCTTAGGGGTTTTCAGTCCTTTATCCTGTCACTTGTGTCTGTGTGCATATACGTTGCCAATATCTTTTCCCAGTTTGGGGCTAGTATTTTTTATCCTTTTAGTGCATTCTTTTTTTTCTTCAACTTTAATATGGAAATTTCAAGCATATATGAGTAGAGACGAGGATAGTGAACCAGACGATGCTCCCATAACCAGCTTCAACAGTTGTCGTGAGGGTCTGCCTTCACTCTTTTCATCCCCCTAACCCCGCCCCTCCCTGGAAGCTGGTACCAGATGTCATTCCATCTGTGGCTCACCTGTAGCTGTTTCAGTGTGTGTACCTAAAAGGTAAGGCCTTGCTGTCTCCTTTAAAAGTACATTTACCATCCTCTTGTATCTAAGAAAAAAACAACTCCTTCACCTCCTCACTTAGGTCTAGTCAGGGTTCCTGTTTCCCCAGTTGTCCTGTAGTTTTTTATAGTCTGCTTGAATCTGGGTCCTTTTAATACTATTAAATTGAGCACTCTTTTCCCTTATGGCTGTACTTTTCATATCTGGTTTAAGAACTCTTTTTATGTCCTGTGTCATGAAGCTAGCCTACAAATTCTGTGTTTTCTATCCAGGCCTTTGTCCCCCTAGGACACTGTGCGCTGTTCTCAGGCCTGGGTCCTGATCCCTTTTTCCATTTGGATAACCAGTTGTCCTGTGAGTCTCCGTTGAAGTCTGTTTTTTTCCACCTGAAGTGCTATCTTGATAATAAGAGGGGTTTGTAAAGGGAGCCAAGAGTGTCCTGAAAAATGCTTATTAACAGGGATAAAAGCAGGTAAATTTGTAAGAACATGAACTTAAGAGAAGCCAAGCCATCGTTTATATATTTCATAGTTGCTGTGACAGGGTCCAGGGAATTGATTTGCCCTTGCTCTTATGTTAATTAGGTATGGCTATAACTGTGTGATCTATGGCTGGGACCCTACCTGCATGATGGGACACGAATGGATCCGAAACATGAACGTCCACAGCCTGCCTCATGGCCATCATCAGCCTTTCTATAATGTTCTGGTGGAGGATGGTTCTTGTAGATATGCAGCCCAAGGTGAGTAACTAGTCCTGTCTGTACCTGTAGTGACACACAGGCACATTTTAAGCGCACATTTGAGCGCTCCAATATTGTGGGCACAGTCATCAGTTTATTTAGAGATGGCTAACCTCATCAGGGCCAGTATTCTGCTAAACATGGGTGGGTATGCCGTGCTGCAGCCATGCCTTGGGTTAGTCGCTGCCCCTAGATTCTTCCCTCCATCACCGCCACACCCAGGACCCCGTTCCAGTGCTGTTGCCGACCTCTGCCGACCTCTGTCATTGCCTTTGCCAAATTCCCAAAAGTCTTGCTGCCCAGTGCCCTGCCCATATGGTCTGCCTGAACTGGAGGGCACCGAGTGGACAGTGTTGGAAGGATCACCCCTGCAGTCTCTGGCATCCTGAGGCGGGCGGCCTGCTCTGCTTCCCCGGGGATGCCCTCAAGTGGCCACTGTGGGAACTGCAGCCCACGGCACTGGCTCTGAGAGCCCCTGGTAGTCTACAGGTGCTTGGTGGTGTCTGGGGCCACTGCCAGCCCTGATAGGTGCTCGTCCAGGGCACTCGTGAGGGGGGAGTGGGTGGAGTCTGGAGAGGCAGGTTAGAGGCAGATGCCTGCAGTGTGGGTCTCCTTTTTCCTTGTTCCTCCATTTAGTGGGATGAACTTACTGTATGGCTGCCTGTCAAGGCATTCACAGCTTTTGTTTTATTAATAAAAACAAACACAAACGTGGGGCGCCCGGCCGGCTCAACCTGAAGAGCCTGCAACTCTTGATCTCAGGGTTGTGAGTTCAAGCCCCATGTTGGGCGTAGAGATTACTAAAAAAAATAATAACCACAAATGCTAATGTAGTGCTGGTCTGTGACAGGCAGTGTTCTGATGTATATTAACTCCACTTGAGAATAGGAATACTGTCCTCATCATACTCGTGTTGTACATGAAGAAACTGACGCGCGTGGGCTCATTCCAAGTTTAATCTAACAAAGTGTGAATTTGAACCTGACACGTTGGCCGAGAGCCATGCCCTTAACTGTCATTGCCACACCTGTTTGTGTCTGACCTAAAGCATCAGGTTTGACCTAACTCAGTATTGTGTCGGTAAATGTAATAATAGAAATTTCGGATGTATAAAAATCTCAGACTAGAAAGTTTCCTATTCATGTTAACTCCTCAGAAGCTGAGAGAGGGTTGTATACAGAATTGAGAGAGATTCTGTTCATTGAGGCTGTGCAGGAAGCTTAACCTCCATCAGTGTGCTGGGACAGTTGTAGGAGAAGGGTCTGTGTGTCCCCTGTTAGATGAAGGGGCCAATGGGGATTTTATTTAACTTTTGAAGCTGTGCCATATTAAAAAAAAAAAAAAAAAAAATCATACCAACAGTGTCTAAAAACCAACAAATGATTTAGAAATTATTGGATGATTTGGTGGACTCTTGCACCCCCACTAGTCACCTGGTAAGCATTGCATGTCACATATCCCAAGAGTGAAGGGCACCGTCCCTTCCCCAGCATCGCAGGCCAGTGTCCGGGGCTCCACCGTGTGTGTGCCTTTGCTGCCCTTTACGTACGGTCGATATTAAGACATCTAGCATTTAATGTTTGAGTTTCTAGAAACATACTAACTTTAAAATGAGCTTTTCAGAGTAGGTAAAACTGGGTATGCAGTTGTAGGTGTTCCAAATTTGGTGTCTGTATTGAAGATTGGGGAATTCATCTCAAACAGATCTAAGCAAACATGTGCTGTAATGTCAGGTTTATCAGAGTTGTGGTGTAGTAACGACTTAAAAAACAAAACAAAACAACTTCCTATCTGGTTGCGATTCTGCATTCTAAAACTGAGATTGAGCTGAGTGAATGTGAACAAGGTTCGCAGTTGCCTTTCTTAGTTTGAAATTCTGAGACTTTTAGAGGCTCTTAGAGGTGGACGGCCAGGATTCCCCTACGAGCGCTGTCCGTCTGCCCCGGGGCCCTGTCGGCCCTCGGTCGCTGTTTCCCAGGTGCCGGGCCGCGGGACCAGAGAGCATCCTGGCCTGTGCGCTCCGAGGGGCTCAGGGGCTCTGGGGCCACCATCTCTTCCCTGTCCTTCCCCTCATCATCTGTCCGGCCCGTGGAGGACACCAGCTGTGTCTCCTGCACGTCTGTCCTGTTTCTATCCCCTGATTTCCATTCCTGCCCCCCACACTCCAGCCACACCTGCTCCTTGCCTGTATCATGCCGTCTCTCACTGGCCTCCACCAGACTCCCCTGCATGGCGGTGACCTGGACCCCATCCCACAGCCTCCTCTCTGCTCCCGCCCCCGGCGCACTCCAGCCAGCCAGACCTTGTTCTTTGAGACCATCCTTCGCGCAAGTCTTTGTGCAGGTGGTTGTCCCTCACAAGCAGGCTCTTTTCTCTAATGCTTCAGGTTAACGTCACTTCCTTCCAGCAGCTTTTCTCCCCCCCTGCTGCTCCCCCACAGGGCTCAGATTGGGTCGGCTGTCCCTGCTCCGAGCTCCCTGACACCCCCCGCCCCTTCCGAGTCCTCACACCTTCATGGGAATTGCAGGATTTCCCGTTGACCATCTGGCCCTCTCTCTCCGTCGCAAGCTCTGTGCATGTAGAGCCAGACCCCAGTCTGCCCGTCTGGTGAGGAGTCCATGCCGCGGGGTGCTCCAGACCCCAGTGGATGTTCACATCTGTCTGACAGAGAAGCTTATAGACACAGATGCAGTGGTGCTGGCGGGGTGGCTCAGTCGGTTGAGCGTCCGACTCTTGATTTCGACTCAGGTCATGATCTTGCAGTTCAGGGGTTCGAGCCCCACTTGGCCTCTGCGCTGACAGCACAGAGCCTGCTTGGGACTCTGTCTCTCCTCCTCTCTCTGCCCTTCCCTCGCTCACGCTCTCTCCCTCAAAATAAATAAGTTAATTTAAAAAAGAAGTGCAAAATAATGAGGTGAGTGTAAATAGCACGTCATTAATAAGATGCTAACTGTTTTTACAACTTTGGATTAAGAGGATTTTCAAATATGCAAAACGGTCAGAAGTATACATCGAATACCCCATACACCGTCCATTAGATTCAACAGCTAGCGTTTACCATATTTGTTTTATCTGTAGGTAGAGATTTTAGGTTTCTGCTGAACTTTTTGAGAGACTATTGCAGACCTAACGACCCGAATGCTTAATCAGGCGTCGTGTAAGAATAGGATGTTTCCATGCGTTGCCACAGTCACATCGCCACGCGTGACAAGTAAACGTGTGCTGTCTGATGCCCGGTCAGCGGCCCCGTTTCCCACTTGCCACCAGCCCGGCTTTGATAGCCGCTTGCCGCTCGTCGTGATCCAGCCAGGATCCTCGCACTGCGTTTGGTTGCTATCTCCAACGGCAGAGCCTTTTCTCTTCCTAAGACCCGTTCATTCCTCATTCCTCACCTCGTTTTCTTCCTTTCTCCTGCGACTGACTTCTTGAAGAGTCCAGGCCGGTTGTCTCGCGAACGCCTAACATTCCGCGTGTGTCTCACTGTTTCCTTCTCTGCATTATCTGCAAACTGGAAGCAGAGTCTGAGGCTGGATTAGATCAGGTGCATATTTTTGGCTCGAATGCTCACTGTCAGATGCTGTGTGTGTCTCCTGCATCTCCTCCAGAGCCCGTGTGATCGATGTCCCACTGGTGGTAGGCGGAGTTTGGTCACTTAGCCAAGATCGATGTAAGACACAGTTTTCCCTTTGCAGCTAACACTGTGACGTCCCGTGAATATCCTGTTCCCGATAACTTGAACCCTTATTTTTGTTTTAGTACCTGTTGAATCTCCTTGCCTAAATTATTGCAGGAGGGTTGCAAATGCTGCCCTTCTCTTTCATTTCTGTGAACGAGAGCTTTCCTGTCCCCTCCCCCCGCCCCCTTTTTCCTTCCTTGCTTATTTCCCTCTCACTTCTTCCCCTCTCCCGTAAATTCCTGAGTTAATTTATTTATTTATTTTTCTTTAGGGAGACAATGCCAAGTGGGGGCAGGGGCAGAGGGAGAGAGAGAACAAACACACTGGGACACCTGGCTGGCTCCGTTGGTAGAGCATGTGACTTTTTTTCCTTTTTTAATAAGGTTTTATTTTCATTTTTGATTGTTTTAATGTTTATTTATTTATTTTGAGAAAGAGAGAATGCAAGCAGGGGAGGAGCAGAGAGAGGGAGAGAGAGAATTCCAAGCAGGCTCCCTGCTGTCAGCACAGAGCATGGGGCTCGGTCTCACAAGCCATGAGGTCATGACCTGAGCTGGAATCAAGAGTCAGACGCCTAACCGACTAAGCCATCCAGGCTCCCCTATGTAAGATTTTTTTATAGGGGCGCCTGGGTGGCTCAGTTGGTTAGGCGTCCGACTGCAGCTCAGGTCATGATCTCAAGGTTTGTGGGTTCAAGCCCCGCTTTGGGCTCTGTGCTGACAGCTCGGAGCCTAGAGCCTGTTTCAGATTCTGTGTCTCCCTCTCTCTCCCTTCCTCCCCCGCCTGTGGTCTGTCTCTCTGTATCTCAAAAAGAAATAAAGATTAACAAAAAAATGCTAATAAAAAAAAAGGTTTTTTTATATATGTGTTTTTCAGCTCATTTATTTATGAGAGAGAGAGAGAGAGAGCACCTGTGTGTGTGAGTGGGGGAGGGGTAAAGGGAGAGAGAGAATCCCAAGCAGGCTCTGCACTGTCAGCACAGAGCCTGACGTGGGGCTCGAACTCAAAAACGATGAGATCATGACCTGAGTTGAAATCAAGAGTTGGATGGCTTAAGCGACTGAGCTACCCAGGCACCCCGAGCATGTAGCCTTTGATCTCGGGGGTTGTGAGTTGAAGCCCCGTGTTGGGCAGAGATTACTGAAAAATAAAATCTTAAAAAACAAAAAAAACAAAAAAAAAACCCCACTTATTTAAGTATTCTTTGAACATTTCCAGTTTAATTTATTTGCATCAAATTACTTTGTTTTTAAACGTTTTCGTGATTTAAATGTTCATCCTTTGGCTCTGGTAATCCTGTTGTGTAGAGCCCACTGATGAATGC